AATATGATCCTCCTTGCCTCTATGCTGACCCTATCCGGCTGCCTGAGGCAGGAAGACTTAAGGGAAAGATCATTCGATGTGCCCTTCCATATTGAAATCTGATACCAGAGAAAAACTACATAGGATCTCTTTTGAGGAAAATGGGGTGTTTGCTCGTGCTCCTCACTTCTTCCTGGATATACTGAAGCAGGAAAGGTGAGGCTCTAAGGTTGTCCACAGGAAAGCTGAAAAAGCCTTGTATTTCCTTTTGATGAAGATCCATAGTGATAATGTGAGTTAAACCTGAAATTTTAAAACAAACAATTACAAAGTTCACCCCTACAAGTTACTGGCTACAGTGGCCACAAACTAGACGCCCACTCCTGTTCCCTAACCGAAGGCTGAAAGCAGGGAACGGATTGCGAACAAACACCGTAAGCTACAGAGACTTTATTTGCGACCTTAACAAAATTGAATGGACTAAACAATGGGTCAAGCCTCATGTGAAAGAGCCTATGCCTTCCACATAGACAAAGAGCGCTAAAGCAGAGAAAAAGTGCTCTCCTTTACTATCATAACTAGCTTGGTCCCGAAAATGAAGAAAAACTAGACAGAAGCAAAGATATGAATATGTGATTAATAAATACTAAAGAAGTAATGGGTGTAAAAAAAAAAATAGTAAGGCCTTGACTAAAGAGTCTAGGAAGAAATGTTAAAAGGCCTGTGGCTGAAGCAGAAGGAATAAGAAAACAAATCCAAAGTAACATACCTATTAGAAGAAAAACTCATATAACACAAAGATAAGACATTGGAGTTTGGAACAAGTTCTAAATGTCACATAAGAATGGGTCAAGAAGTATTCTAGAAAAACAAGATACACTCTTATAGTCAACAGTGCTGATCGAAAAAAGGTACACGTGTAAAAACATGACAAATGGCCACAGGTCACTGCAAAACTTCTAGGGCAGTACTTCTTGTTCCTCCCCAAAACATTACACATTTTTAGAGAATGGAATTCAAATGTTTTTTCTCAGGACTCAAATATATATTAGAGTTTTTAAGTAAACACGCCAGGCAAAAATCCCAGTAACTAGAAAGTGTTTTTACATTTGATTCATAGGCCAAAAAGCATGTTACCACTACAAAAACACAGAATGAAAGCAATTAAGAACGAGCTGCTAGACAGAGTGACAATCAGGGAGGTGGGGAAAAAGGGCAGTATATAAACTGGAGAAGTAGCAAAAGGAAAACCTGGTTTTAATATTATGCACATGAACAGCATTTAGCTAACCGAGGCAAATACATAAAACCTAGACCTGGAGCTCAAAAGATCCCCTACGGATGCCAAGATCACAGCTAAAGTTTTCATGGTCAGATGAAGTGAAAAGAAGTGACAGATGACGGAAAAGCCCAAGATTAGAGAAGAGACGACGTTGCACTCAAGTAAGACAAAGAGAAAAGAAAAAGATGAGAATCTACACCTAAGCTCACATATCCCTAACCAGAACTATCAAAAGGGAACAGAAGAAAGTAATTAGTGAGCAACACTTAAAACCGGTCCCGAATTAGCTCTGAGGGAGGGACTACTCTCAAGCAGGAAGAGTCCTAAATGAGCACCCCAAGGTCCGCGTCCACACTCACCTGCTTTCGCCAGCATGGACGCCAGGAGCTTGCACACAATGGAGCCCCTCTTCCTCATCTTGCTCTGCTTGCTGTAGGGGAAGTAGGGGATGACTCCGATAATGTTCCTGGCACAGGCCGTCTTCAGCGCATAAGCCATGATCAGTAACTCCATCACGGCGGTATTCACATCTCTGAAACAGGTAAAGTTTGTATTTGGGGGGGGAGTTTCATTTACTAACCCCTAAAAGAGATCTGAACGTCAGCGCTGGCACACGGGCCGCCAAGATGGGCATCACAGGCTTTTTTTATCGTCACCTAGCTTATGATGGCACCTTGTGAATACAGGGGAAAGGCTGTTAGCTCTTTGCAGCTGTGGTTGTCATCTGTGGTTAGGTAAATCCGTAGCACAGCTACCCACACTCACTTACGCCTGGCTCTTCTGTCAGTGATGCGATCACTGGGGTGGCATGTGAGGCAGACGTCAACTGCCGGTGGCCAGAGTTAAGCAACACCCGCGGGCACCATCCCAGGCACGGGGGACTCAGCCCCTGCGTCCTGCGAACGCCAAGTGGGGAGGCCCACTGTCCTGCTATGTAGCTGCCATCGCCAGGAAGGATTTGGTCTGTTTGTTCTTCCAGGGGTAGAGGGTAGGGTGGAGGATGGGGAGGTCTTGGAACTAAGTTTTCAAAAATCTCATCCCTTTTTTCTCAAGTACACAGATTCCCAACAGAGGTTACTCAGAGAGAGACAAAGAAAGAAGTATGGATCTGAAAGATATTCAAAGGAAAGGCTACTTTCAATTTTAATGAATGTGGATTGCTACTCTTCGCCAAGGCTGATGGCACCCAAGGGCTCTGCCCTTAAAATAGATGAGAACCAAAAAACCCAAAACCAACCAACCAAACACACACACACACACACACACACACACACACACACACACACGAAAGAGGTGAAAACCTTAGGGCAGAGGGAAGCTCCGAGCTGAGTCCCTTGTGTCACTCCACTCCAGGTCACCTGGGAAGGTCTGAGACTGGAAGCCAAAAGCGGCCCCGACAGGGTCCTCCCTGAGTTTCGTGGAGGCGAGTTCCCAGAGAATCTGAGACAGGGCCCACTGGGCAGGAGACTGGGCCGAAGACTCTGCCCTTGGGGAGGGGCCTGGCAGATGCCTCCTTAGCTGTAGCTTGGAACACACTGGGCTAGCAGAGTGAGTTCAATGGCTGGGGGGAGGTACTCTGCCCTCATAACCTAGTAAGACTACTCTCCCCTGTTCACAAAAAAGAAAAGAAAAAAAAAAAAGAGGTGAGAGCCTTGAAATCCTTCAGGATGTTCTTCCAATGGTCCTTGGATTATTCAAGAATCGTCAAACACCCTCTCTCTGGAGTCAGGAGTGTATCTCCCTTGCCTTCCTGGGAAAGAGGATCATTTCCCACGTCTTAGTTTCTATCCATGTGCGCAGCCGGCCCTCTGGGGGTCAGTTCTTGAACTGTCTGATACACAGCAGTGACGCCCTCATTTACAGCAAAACGGAAAGCCTGCCATCAACACGGTACCGACTTCGTTGAATAAGATACTCATCATGGAGATTGCTTTCTAGCCTGAAGGGCGGTCAGGCCAATTCCTCTCAGTCTCTGAATTCGTGTGTGTCCCTCTCTCTGAGGGCATCGGTCCTCAGTGCATCTCGGAGTGACACACTGCAAAGACATCCCTGTGCTCCGACAGCGTTTACTTCCACATTCAACTTCTAGAACTTCCGACCTCACCTTTGTAATTTGGATTTTTCGTAAATATTTCAGGGTTCGGTCACACAAGCATTTCTCCCAGAGCGTGGGTATAATTGACTCAGGGCTCAATTTTGAGACAACTCTGACCTTCCTTCCGGACTGCTGACAGGTTACGGTATTTTCCGGTTATTTCCTTCCTCTGAAATAAACTGAAACATTCTTCCTTCTCATGCTCCCAAACTAATACTGTCCCAAGTCGGGCATCACAAGGTTAGAGGACACACAATCTTTTGGCAATAATCAGGACAAAACATTTACCAAACACTTTCAAGGTACTTCGGAATTCATTAGACCTGGTCAATGTTAGTTCATTCACATATTCAACAAATATTTATTGAGCAACAGGAATCAGGCACTGTTAGGTGGGGGGGTTAAAATGGCAAATGGGGCTAACCACAGGGGAAGAAAATGCCAGAGGCCCACACTGGATCACCCTCGTGGTAATCACGTGTCCCAAGAGGGGGCACGTCTAACTCCACGTTCCCCCTCCCAGACTTTTTTTTTTATTATTTTTTTTAATGTTTATTTATTTTGGAGACAGAGAGAGACAGAGCATGAGCAGGGAAGGGGCAGAGAGAGAGGGAGACACAGAATCGGAAGCAGGCTCCACCCTCCGAGCCGTCAGCACAGAGCCCGACGCGGGGCCTGAACTCACGAACCGTGAGATCATGACCTGAGCCGAAGTCGGACGCTTAACCGACTGAGCCACCCAGGCGCCCCTCCCCTCCCAGACTTTTAGACTTCATTCCACAGAGGGGAGAGCTGCTCTTCCCCCACTGGATCACCTGAACTGGTGCCTCGTGGGCTCTGAATGTTAAGCTGGAAGGTTACACAGTACCTGGAGGACAGCGTGTAAATAACTCAGGCGTCCACATCTAGACTAAACACCAGGCATCACATCTACTACAGCCAAAGTCCTCTTCCGCATATAGACTGCTTAACAATGTTGGAAATACAATTAGAGCTTTCTTAACCTTCCAGGGGTGTGATACTGTGCGGTGTTGCAAAAGTTCCGCCGGCTGTGGTTTCTTCCATCAGACCTCAATGTCAGCAATATGGTTAGAGTTGAAGTTAATAGATTCCGAAAGAGTATCTGCCCAGGTGGCTGGGCTTTTAGCTGGCTTTGTAATAGCATTTATAACACACAACCATAGGATGCAGTGAGGTTTGGGCAGCACACCTCAAGGCCCGCCCAGATAGTAAGATGTTAACATAACAAAATGAACACTTTTCAAAGAGCCTGGATTTCAGCAAAACTTCCCTTTCACTAATTACTAATTTCTGCCGTGGGATTTCATTTTCTACTTTTCCTCTTCCTATTGACCTATGCCAAGGGATTCAACATCCTCCAGCCCGAAGCTGAGGAAAGCCTCCCATGCCCCACCCGTTCGGTCAGGAAAGCAACAAAGGAGCCTCTGTCACACTGGCTCTCCCCGTTCCCTGCGGGACACTGGACAAACCGGACAGCAGGCAGTTAATCTGTGGGCTAGCAGGGTGAAGAGAAGCTGGCTGGCAGCCTCTGCTTTGTTTATCTGTTCCCTAAGACTGTTCCAAGTACATCCTGGCTAGTTTTCGTGGTCTTTGTATCTAAGTAGGACAATCTTAATTGTTTACCAACTGACTCGTTTTTCTTTCCCCTAAGATAATCACATCCTATATTAAATTCGACCCTTGTTGCTCTGCCGGTTTTGATAAACAAAGATAAATGAGACACGAGGAAGCAGACATGGTCTGTATACGCCGGTCGAACTGCGCAGGACCGCAATGACAGGCCAACGCCATAATGGAAGGAGTGACAACATGGTAACGGGGTGGGATTTACCCCACCTCCGACGCCACGACTTAATCATCTGAAGCAAATAAGGTATAAATGTTCTTCTCTTTTTTAGTTTTTAAAGTTTATTTCTTTTTAGAGAGAGACAAAGGCAGGGTGAGCAGGGGAGGGGCAAAGACAGAGAGAGAGAGAGAGAGAGAGAGAGAGAGAGAGAGAGAATCCCAAGCAGGCTCTGCACCGTCAGCACAGAGCCCAATGCGGGGCTCGAACTCTCGAAACCGTGAGACCGTGACCTGAGCTGAAACCGAGAGTGAGACACCCAACCAACTGAGCCACCCAGGCGCCCCGTAAATGTTCTTTTAATGACTCTTCTTACATTACATCAACACACTAGGCCTTGTAACATAAACACGGAAATTGTGCTTCAAAAAACACTCTGTAAGCTTCACATCCATTTTACTTCCTTCCCTCGCTCAGTATATTTGGAAGCTCCTGGAGTACTGATGTGAAATGTTGGGGTTCGGGAGCAAACGGTCAAAAAAGAATTCTTGAGACGTCTTCAGTGCAAAAAAGGGCGTTTTATGAAAGCACGGGGACAGGACCTGTGGGCAGAAAGCACTGCACCGGGGTTGTGAGGAGTGGCTGATTATATACTTTCAAGTTGGGAGGGGGGTCAGGGACAGCGTTGAGTCTCGAAGGAATATGGAAGCAAGGTGTCCAGGACCTTGAGGGGCTAGCTCTTATGAGGAAGAGGTCATTTCCTCCAGTAAAACCGCAGTCATGAGACCCTGCAGATGTCTATCAGTAGGCCAAATGCTTGGAGAATGACTGCTAGTCTATATCTTGGGGCTGGGAGGGGGCAGTTAGAGATAAAGGAAGTTTCCAAAGGGATTTTTTATAGGATCCTGGAGGTTGGACGAACGTCAAGCTAAGACTGCCTCTTGCCTCTAGCAAAGTATTAACGTGGAGGCAGCTAAGCTCCCTGAGGAAGGTCACTCTGCGTGTCTCTAAATACCTGTCACTGAGCTGTAAGTTGTGAGGAAGTTCAATTTTTTTTTCTTTCGCCTTTGTTCTCCACATCAAGTATCAGACATTTAAATCATGCAACATAGTGGTGCCCGTGTGGCTCAGTTGGTTAAGCGTCTGACTTCAGCTCAGGCCATGATCTCATGGTTTGTGGGTTCGAGCCCCGCATCAGGCTCTGTGCTGACAGCTCAGAGCCTGGAGCCTGCTTCGGATTCTGTGTCTCCCTTTCTCTGTCCCTTCCCCGCTCTCTCTCTCCCTCTCAAAAATAAACATTAAAAAAAAAATTTTTTTTAAATCATGCAACATAATCACTTCATTCAGAAAGGCTTTTTGCCATTTCCAAAAAATTGAATCCACCCTCAACAATAAAAAACGTGCGATTACTGGAGCAAAGGGAATATGCTGCGGGCTCTGGAGGGGGGTTTCGAAGGTGAGCCCCACCTCCGGGGCTATTGGTCAGCAGCACCACCAACAGGGGTGATGACATTAGTCTCCCCTGGCGAGCACAACACCAGAGGGCAGCCTCACGGGTGACAGAGCTCCCACGCTCCCGCATTTCGCCCCCAGACAAGACCCTCAGGTCTTCCCCTCATTTAAAAAAAAATTTTTTTTAATATTTATTTTTGAAAGAGGGAGAGGGGAAGAGAGAGAGAGAGAGAGAGAGAGAATGAGCGGAGGAGGGGCAGAGAGAGAGACAAAGAATCTGAAACAGGCTCCAGGCTCCGAGCTGTCATTGCAAATCCCCATGCAGGGCTCGAACCCACAAATGGTGAGATCATGACCAGAGCCGAAGTCAGGTCAACCGCCTGAACCATCCAGGTGCCCCCTCCCCCTCATTTCTAAGGTGCAGCATCCAACAAAAGCACGAGGCAAAAAGAGTGCCAGGAGCGGGAGGAAACCAGTACAAAACCAAAATTGCCAGAGGACTAGTGGGCAAAGTTACTATCAAAGTATCTATCAGAGCCGCCTTATCTACCAATACTAGAGGCATGGATGTTTACACCCAGCAATTCCATTTCTTGGAATCTTCCTATGGAAATACCAGAAACACAAGATGTCCAGGCAGGGTATGTGCTGCAGGCACTCGGGCACAGGCTTCTGAGGACGGATTCACCCCCGTGGGGGAGGGAGGGGCTGAAAGTTCCCACCCTCTATCCTCTGCTGACTTCCCCAGGAGCCCCCCTCTAGTGGTTATCTAGAGGCTTCCCAAAAACCATCTCAATAACGTCAGCTCAGGAGTGGATGTAAGGGGCTTGCTATGAATAACAAAAGACACCTTTATTGCTCTTATCGCTTAGGAAATTCCACAGGTTTTAGGTTTTAGGAGCTCAGCACTGGGAAAGGAAGACCAAATACACACACACACACACACACACACACACACACACACACACACACACCCCTTTTTTTTTTTTTTAAGATTTTATTTTTAAGTGATCTCTACACCCTGGGGCTCGAACTTACAACCCCAACCGAGATCAAGAGTCGCATGCTCTACCAACTGAGCCAGCGAGGCGCCCCCAAATATATATTTCTTATTACAAGTCACATTTTCACTGAGGCTAAAAGTAGCTTCCATGGGGGATTTGGGTGAAGGCTTAAAGAAGATACATGTAAGAGCCTCACCCCGATGGCCTCCAGTGCTGTTCTCATCTCTTTTTTTAATGTTTATTTATTTTTGAAAGAGAGACAGCATGAGTGGGAAAGGAGCAGAGAGAGAGAGAGAGAGAGAGAGAGGAAGACACAGAATCAAGCTGTGAGATCATGACCTGAGCCGAAGTTGGGTGCTTAACCGACGGAGCCACCCAGGCGCCCCAAGTGCCATTCTTACGACGACCACAGTCTCAGGAATCTCAATAAACCAAGACAGGAAGGTCTGCACTTTCCAGAGACATACACAGATACCATCTACACCAGAGCAGCTTGAAACGGGCCACTATGCAAAAAAAAAAAAAAAGTGCAAAAAACTGTCTTGCGAGGTACACATCGGCAGGGGCCATGCATCGGATTTAACAACAAAAAGCTTTTCGGAGCGCCTGGGTGGCTCAGCTCGCTCCGGGATTCTGTGTCTCCCCCCTCTCTCTCTGCCCCTCCCCTGCTCATGCTCTGTCTCTCTCTGTCTGTCAAAAATAAATAAACATTAAAGAAAAAAAAAAAAGAAAACGGAATTGTTGCTTCTATGATAACAGAATTCTATCGCTAAGATTTTTAGAGGAAATCTTACCTCTAATGCTAATCTTACCTGGGTATTGTTTGTATAATGAAAATATCTTGGCCACGAACAGATTCTTTTATTTCAACTCTTGTTTCTGAAAAATAAAAAAAAGTCCAATAGTTTAGGGAAAGCACTTTGTGATACACTAATTGGGCAGCACATGGACGGAGTCAAGATGAAATCTAAATCAACACTTCACCTAGCGCACCAAAATAATTCTGCAAGAGATCTCAGAATGACAAGCATCCATATAAAAATAGTGAAGCTGAAGGGAAAAAAACCCAAAAATAAGCTAAAAGGCAAAAAAGTAACACAAACAGATCCACATAAAATCTCGGGGTCCAAAAAAGCAAACCCATCACCGAAATAAAGACTGGACGCCTGGGGAAAAGTAAAGAGGTCAAAGGTTAACTGCCTTCTTCCCACAAATGTGGTGGCCTCGGGCCCTGTCCTGAGGTCCCCAAGCGGAAGACCTGGACCAAGCAGACGAGGACTGATCCAGGAGAGACAACGCAACGCCAAAGGCTGGGAGACTTTTCAGGCTAATGTGACAGAAAGAGACCAAGAGATGGGGCGCCCAGCTGGCTCAGTAGGTAGAACACGCGGCTCTTGATCTCAGGGTCGAGAATTCGAGCCCCATGTTGAACATGGAGCCTACTTAAAAACAACAACAACAAAAGAAAAAGACCCGGAGAGCGAATAGTGGGGTTGGTTAAACCACCTTCTCGTCCTCAGGTGCTTCATCTCAGGAGCTCCCCAGATGCCATCACCATAAATTAAAATTGTTACTGCTAAACAGACTAGCTCATCTATCTGCTTTCAGCTTTAGGTTTTTGACTACCACTATCTCCTGACTTGTCTTGACGGTAGATGAAGTTTTTAAAGTCACCAAGTAGAAAGTTACTAAGTGCGGGGGCGCCTGGCTGGCGCAGTCGAGCGCGCGACGCTTGACTTCAGGGTCGTGAGTTTGAGCCCCACGTGGGGCGTTGAGATTAAATAAATAAAACTTTTAAAAAAAGTGACTAAGGGGCGCAGTGACTCTTGATCTCAGCTCAGGTCATGGTATCACAGTTCATGAATTCGAGCCCCACGTCAGGTTCTGCGCTGATAGTGCGAAGCCTGCTTAGGATTCTGTCTCTCCCTCTCTCTCTGCCCCTTCCCCACTTGTTCTCTCTCTCTCTCAAAATAAATTAATAAACTTAAAAAAAAAACAAGTTTCTAAGTGTGGAAGTGGGATGAAGGATATCTGGGGGTTAATTATACCGCACATGGAACTTACAACATTTTGGGCACATGTGTTTTCCACTAAACCGGCCACTAAATCACCTTTCCTTTTTCAAATACCTTCCTTTTTTAGATGCCTGAACATCACTAGATCTTAGTAATTTAATTTACCTCCTCAAGCTACTTATACCACAGGTAGTTCTACCTTAGAAAGAAAAAAGGAAGCAAGAATCATAAACCTAAGCTTTCAACTTTGCAAAAATAGTTCCAAACTATTTTTTTTTAATTTATTCATATTTGAGAGACAGAGAACGAGTGGAGGAGAGCAGAGAGAGAGGGAGACACGGAATCCAAAGCAGGCTCCAGGCTCCCAGCTGTCAGCACAGAGCCCGACTCGGGGCTTGAACTGTGAGATCACGACCTGAGCCGAAGTCGGACGGTCAACCGACTGAGCCCCCCAGGCGCCCCAGTTCCAAATTATTTTACGCTAACTTGTCTTCACAGGGCATTGTACAGCCTGAAGTACACAGCCCCACTAGATTTACGATGCAGCACTCCTAGGACACGGGTGATCAACAAAGTGCTTTGAAGTGTTATCATTTAATGTCACAATTTTCCATGGAAACTCAGAGGGCAGCAAAAGTGGGTTACCAACCCAGGATGAGAGTCTACAAGAGAACTGAGAAAAAAATTTAGGCTGAAAGAACTCAAAGCTGGGTTTGTTTGGTTTGTTTTTTATTTTTATTTACTTATTTATTTTTTAATTTTTTTTTTTTACATTTATTTATTTCTGAGAGACAGAGAGAGAGACAGAGCACAAGTAGGGGAGGGGCAGAGAGAGAGGGAGACGGGATCCGAAGCAGGCTCCAGGCTCGGAGCCATCAGCACAGAGCCTGATACGGGGCTCGAACTCACGAACAGTGAAATCATGACCTGAGCTGAAGTGAGACGCTCAACCGACTGAGCCACCCAGGTGCCCCTGGTTTGTTTTTGAATTTTTTTTTTTTTTTTACATTTATTCATTTTTGAGAGGCAGAGAGACACTGCACAAGTGGGGAGGGGCAGAGAGAGGAGACAGAATCCAAAGCAGGCTCCAGGCTCTGTGCAGACGGACGCGGGGCTCAAACTCACAAACCACGTGAGATCATGACCTGAGCCGAAGTCGGACGTCAAAGCTGGTTTTTTTAAAAAGTCATTACTACCTGGTACCAGACTGCTCTAGATGCCATTTGATGGCATAAGGAGACACAGATGTAAAGGGCATTTAGCAAACGGAGCCCAATATAGAAGAGAAAACATATTCTTTACATCTCTTCTTTTTACACTGTGAAATGACAAGACAGTCACATTATCCTGGAAACAGGGGAAGGAGACTTTAAGAAAGAGAACAAAGAAAGAAAGATTTAGAGGCAAGTAGTGAATGATCTTAAAGAAAAATGTTTTCATGTTACACGGGAATAGTATCAGCCTTTTAAAAACATGTCAGTTTGGGGCGCCTGGGTGGCGCAGTCGGTTGGGCGTCCGACTTCAGCCAGGTCACGATCTCGCGGTCCGTGAGTTCGAGCCCCGCGTCGGGCTCTGGGCTGATGGCTCGGAGCCTGGAGCCTGTTTCCGATTCTGTGTCTCCCTCTCTCTCTGCCCCTCCCCTGTTCATGCTCTGTCTCTCTCTGTCCCAAAAATAAATAAACGTTGAAAAAAAAAATTAAAAAAAAAAAAAAAAAAAACGACACTCTTCAAAATTTAAAAAAAAAAATAAAAAACATGTCAGTTTAAGGGCTCCTGGGTGGCTCAGTTAAGTGTCCAACACAGGTCATGATCTCACGGTTCGTGAGTTCAAGCCCCACGTCGGGCTCTGTGCTGACAGTGTGGGGCCTGCTTAGCAATCTGTTTTCCTCTCTCTGCTCCTCCCCCACTTACACGTGCTCTTTCTTCCTAAAAAAGGAAAAAAAAAAAATAGACCAACGATTGAATTTGGCTCAAGTCATGATCTCCTGTTTCCTGAGTTCGAGCCCCATGTCAGACTCTGCACTGAAGCATGAAGCCCGCTTGGAATTCTCTCTCTCTCCCTCTGTTCTTCCCCCTCTTGCTCTCTCTCAAAAATAAGTAAACATTAAAAAAAAAAAAAAAAACAGAACCCAGGTCAGTTGACTAAACAGTTTAGAGAACAAAGGATGTTTAAGAAATCATTTTCACTTACCTCCATTGGTCTCTTGATAGACCACAGATTTCCCCAATTCCGCACCAAGACGCCTATGGGGGGGGAGGGGAGGTAAAGGCAATAAGCTCTTTAAAAAAAAAACTTCAGTTCCTATGTGTATGTTTAACAAAAAGGCTAAAATAACTAGACTAGCATTCTTTCCCCCAAACCCAGAAAAGTTCAGAAAGTTTAATGCATTAAGAACCACACACCGTCCACTGTTGCACAAGCAGCTTCAAGGGCCCACCATTTTGTAACACGCTGCTCTACCGGGGGGGAGGGGAATCCACAGCCAAAGTTTAATGTCTAGTTCATTGTTTTCTGAATAACGGTCTTGGAAAACCATTCCCAAACAGACGCGTGGCTACTGACACCGATTCCAAAACCACAAGTCACAGGTAAATGCAATGGCCAAAAGCGAATAGACTTCAGTGCCATTAACCAAATGCAGTGTGAATGTTGCTTGGGATCCTGATTAGAATAACTAGGCACAAAAAGCCATTTTTGACACAGGGGAGGGAACTATGAACAAGGGCTTGATACTAAATGATATTAAGGAATTAATGATGTCATAGGTTTTGCTTTTTTTTTTTAAAGATTTTTATGTAATCTCTATACCCTCTGTGGGGTTCGAACTCACAGCCCCAAGATCAAGAATTACACGCTCCACTGACTGAGCCAGTCAGGTGCCCCATCATAGGTTTTCCTGGTTATCAGGTAGCATTACCACTTTAGTGAGTGAAATGCTATGATGTGAGGGGGGAATCTGTTTAGAAATACTCCAGCCACGCACGCAGGACAGCGAGGAAGGCCGCTGGGTAGAGGAGGTTGTGGCTTTCTGGTGCTTTGAGGAAACGTCAGATGCGAGGCCTTCTGGCCAAGTGTCTGAGAGTTTAGACTGTGGAGGATTCTTATATCCTAGCAGGCTGCAGCCTTCTCTCCAGGTTGCTGCGGCGGAACCAAGAAAGAAGGCATAGGCAAATTTCTACAGAAATTATGATTCCCTGAGAGATTCTGAGGTGAAGAAGGCTGGTGCCTCTCGGGGTGCAAAGTGGTTTTGGAATGTAAAAATTTCTTCGGGTTGGGTTTGTCACTGGAAGTTTGTCACTGACCTGGGTTTCCTAACTATGAAACACGGATATTGGGGTATGAAATAGTTTCTCTTGATAAGCAAACAACGAACAAATACTGTGCACAGTATAAATAAATAGAATTATTCCAGTCAAGTCTACAATAGGATATTATTCAGCCTTAAAAAGGAATGAAATTCTGATACATGCTATAATATAGATGAACCCTGAAAAAATGATTCTAAGTAAAAGAAGTCAGACACAAAAAGACAAATATTGCATGATTGCATTTATAAGAGGTACTTAGAAGAGGCAAATTCAGACACAGAAAGGAGAACAGAAATGACCAGGGATTGGGAGGGAAGGGATCGGGGAGTTAGTGTTTTAAGGGTATGGAGTTTCTGTTCCGGATGATGAAAAAGTTCTGGAAATGGATACTGGTGACAGCTACACAACACTGTAGATGTATTTACGGAGTTGTACTGAGTTGTACACTTAAAATGCTTAAATGGTGTGGTGCTGGGGTGGCTCAGCTGGTTAAGCGTCTGACCTCAGTTCACATCATGATCTCGTGGTTTGTGGGTTCAAGCCCGGCGTTGGGGCTGACAGCTCAGAGCCTGGAGCCTTCTTTGGACTCTGTGTCTCCCTTGCTCTCTGCCCCTCCCCCGTTCGCACTCTGTCTCCATCTCTCTCTCAAAAACTGAATAAACATTAAAAATATTTTCAAAAAAAGGTTAAATAAATGGTACATTTTAAGTTATGTACATTTTACTGTAATTAAAAAAAATCCTTGGGGGGTACCTGGCTGGCTCAGTCGGTAGAGCAAGCAACTCTTGACCTCCAGGTCATGAGTTCAAGTCCCACATGGGGTATAGAGCTTAGTTCACACATATATATATATATTTTTTTAAGTTTCTTTATTTTGAGAGACAGAGAGAGCACGTGTGCAGGAGCAGGGGAGGGGCAGAGAGGGAGAGAATCCCAAGCAGGATCCCTACCATCAGCATGGAGCCTGATGTGGGGCTTGAACTCACGAACCCTGAGATTATTATCTGAGCCAAAATCGAGAGCCAGATGCTTAACCGACTGAGCCACCCAGGCATCCCTAGAGCTTAGTTTAAAAAAAAAAAAAAAGAAGAAGAATCTAGCCCCCCCCCCAAAAGTGAGAGATAGGTAAAGTAAATGAAATAAGACTAACAAAAAGTTGTTAAATTGAAGCTAGATGAAGGGGGTTAATTATAACGCGTATGTAACTCACACACATCCTGGGAATCCAGCACACCTAACTTTTCTACTGATTCAAGTGTATAACCAAAAGTGTTTGAAAATCCCTGCTTGGAAGTTCAGATCCAAAAGCAGTCATGGAAATAAAATATCCTAACGTCAGGGACCTTCACACTCTGCTCAGTGGTAAAAGCCTTTTTTCAAATAAAGTCTTACTCAGAAACTCAACATATGAAACAGAGAAAGGAAGTATTTACAAATATTATTTACAGTAATTTACAACATTTCTGGGGGTGCCTGGGTGTCTCAGTCGGTTGAGCATCCGACTTCGGCTCTGGTCATCATCTCGCAGTCAGTGAGTTCGAGCCCCGCGTCGGGCTCTGTGCTGACAGCTCAGAGCCTGGAGCCTGCTTTGGATTCTGTCTTCCTCTCTCTCTGCCCCTCCCCCACTCATGTTCTGTCTCTCTCTGTCTCAAAAATAAATATAACCGTTAAAAAACACTTTTTTAATAAAAAAATAAAAATAAAACATTTCTGGGGGCGCCTGGCTGGCTCAGTCCAAAGAGCGTGGGACTCTTGATCCCAACTGGGGTCGTGAGGTTGAGCCCCACATTGGGGGTAGTGATTACATTAAAATTAAAATCTTTAAATATTTCTGGAACAAGGCAGAGAAGAACCTATCATTAAAAGATAAAAGCAAAACCATTGACCTTTTAAATGTGCCCTCCTCCATCTGCTTTCTCTCAGCAAGGTCACTGTGGTGAATTTGACCCAAAACAAACATGAGCTTTATATTTAAAGTTAGCATTTTAGTTGGCCTCAAAAAGCCAACATTTATCAGGAGTTAGAAACAGAAACTAGGTAGTAGATTGCAAAAGGATTTACTCTTCTAATCTCACTTAAAACCCCCAACTGAAAAGAAAATAGGCATTGCTGAGAAAATAGGACTGAAGTTTCCCTTCGACATTTCCATCTAGAATCCAAAATTATATCCTTGCAATTATTCATCAACTCTGAAAAATCCAGAGAAACTCTAATGTAAAACTGTTTCAAGATATAAAAATGACTTTAAACGTTAAAAAGCAAGCTATTCATTTGTATACCTTAGGTTTGTAACAAGTTTATCTGGAAAGGGTTCCTAAGGCTCTTCCTTTGCATTAGAGCTATGGGACTCTCCAAGAGCCAACTAGAAAAGAGCGATTATTCCCAGGGCCACTGTGAGTCTCT